ACGGTCGAGTGGTTCCCGTCCCTGGCTCAAGCATTTCAACAATGAATGACACGATGAAGATAGTGATGTATAAGCAATCGAGATACTTGTGTATAACCCTCCAAGTTTACTTTTAGAAACTCTATCTTCCTTTAGGATTGTTATGTCATCAATTTATCGCAAAGAAAAAACCTGACATTATGAATGTGTTCGTTAATGTGTACATAGAAATTCACTGATAATACTGACCAAAAAGCAGCCTAATGAAAGCGAGACCCAAGCAAGTAGGACATAAATGAGGACAGCAATATGATATTGGCATGGAAGGCAAGCAGTTTATGGCAATCGAATAAAACTGTTCCCGAAAGTAATATAGTGACTATAGGCTTAGAAGGCTATTTAAGTACTATGTCGGTGATGAGCGCAAATGCCAAGCTTTCTCAAACAAAAAAAAATTGGTTCGGGGTAGTACAACGTAAAAAATAATGGTCGCCTCTGATATTCACCGCTGAAGTAATCTTAGTCGAAAGCATTAATGTTATATCATAGCTATCATTATTATTACGATTACTACTTCCTCAAAAGTAATAATTAAACATCTAAGTGAAGATGAACGAGGCTCACAACTATTTGGGCAAATTTTAAGACGTCCCCAGTATGAAATAAAAAGGCGTACTCGTTTGTTCTGCTGAACTACGCACCGTAGTCAAGCATTTCCTACCATTCGATAATCAACCAATAACAACAAGGGGCCCGCCGCACCTGACAGACTCACCTCTACGATTATCGAGCAAAAAAGTAGCTACTGCTGTCAAACATCAAGTTCAAACATTCACTTCCCCATCCCCTCCATCCTGCTCGAAATTATTATAATAGAAAAATTGAATAATCAAAGCTGGAACGTGCGCTCACTCCAAACATTAACCACGTCCTTCATAGATTGAGGCAACGAATCAGATTTCAATACTAAACGGTTAAATAAGAATGAGCCGGCTGTTTCGTTTCAAAGACCACAAAACAAAAACGTAAGCCCCGAATATGTCCATGTATCACAGATAACAACCCATCACGCATACAAGAGAAATATCAAAGAAAACGAAAAGTACCCGTAAATTTAGTTAAGCTCGAAATATCGATCGAAACTCCACTTCTGACTGCTTTTCTTCTCATCGCACATAGTAAACGTGACATCGCCACCGGCTTCTACTCCTTCAACATCGAGGCACAGACCTCGGTCCTTGTGTCGAAGAAAACCGCCCTAAATCATATCATTGTGGATTGAGGAATTCAGTCAGGTTTCTCGCACTAAACGCTCTGTACTGTAATTCTAAGAAATTTCAGAAATGCTTTCTAGCAGGAAGCCAAACATGGCACCATTCATACAGGGTATAAAAGAAAAATGCATGAGAGATTTAGAATGGTAATCACTCTATCCTTTCGGGGTGTTTCAATCAGTATCTGACTGACATTGAAAGGCAAAAAGCTTATTCTTCAGTATATTTCATCCCAAACCCTAAGTCATTATGAGAGCGAATATAAATGCCAAAGTAGTTCTAAGTGCTGAGCGAGAACGTAGCACATAGACTGAAGACTAGAATTAATGAACACTGACAGATTCTGGCTTCATAGATTTTTCTCAATGCATAGGGAAATCAGCACAAATTCGCTTTTATCAATCATATGTAGAGAATACCTCAGTATGTTCAAACTCAGGACCGCCGGTATCCTCACAATTGAATAGTACCGCATTATACACTCTAGGGCGGAGCTGGTTACCAACATCCACACAGGTCGCCTCTCTTCGAAGTTCATGCTTTTTCGACAAAGAGAACATCTGGAATAGAGAAAGTGCTGGTCAAGTGTTACTACCAACCAAGCTTCTGTGTTCAAAAAGAGAAGTCCATGAGCAACAGAATATCACTGTAGACAGAAAATTGCGAAGATTCAAAAAACATTCGAATTTCCAAAGTTCAGATGATAATTATTAAAGATAGAATGCGCAAAGCCGATATGTGATCTCGTAATCAGACTACAAATTTAAAAAAAGCATACAATAACTTACTTCTGCTGAACTACCGCCCTCTTGGCAACCGAATACGCCAAGGATAACTGTCCCCTGAAATAAATGTGCTAAATAAATGTGACTCAATGCGAAGATAATAGACTTTTCGACCGAACCTTATTCTCAAGTCGCTGAAGAGTGTCTAAGCAAAGTCCTCGTTCGGTTCTGACGTGTCCATATGCATAGACGTTTTCGTCTGGTACGAATTTCTCCGGAATCACATTATCTAAGTACCATTTGAAAGACTTGCACTTGAGTCTCTCTCGTAGTTGCTTTCTTTCGGTCAGATCACCAACGTCCAAGTCCTAAAATCGTAAAAACAACTGAACAAAAGGGAGCAGCATCAACATTGTTCGCTAATATTAAAACACGCTCCATTCGCGCTCCACCCCTCTCGGCTAAGCTAAGAAGCTAAACTCTTTTCAGATGAGGAACGAGATTTACAACACTTTGAATAGCGCTTTTCTCTCACCTTAAGACCCATTCGGTGAACGTAGAAGAGCCGTTTGTAGTCATCCATCCATACCTCTGCTAGCCGCTTGGAATTCGTACCATGCACATCTTTGTTGTCGTTTCGCCCTGAAGTATTCGCACTACCTAGAGAACTCCCAAAAACACGAATAAACAGCATACAAAGTATTGACCTCAATCTAAACTCAGGGAACGACTAATGCATCAGTAAACAAATAGACACAACAACAAAAAAACAAAAATCTAGTGGCGGAAAAAACTATACGGCTAACACTTCTGGATGGCAGGAAGCGAAAAACAAGTGTTTCATAAGAACCTGTCATGTCATACGGATGCCCTGATCGGAAGATATGGCCAACATGAGAGCATGGGATTAGTTCAATTGAACCTCCGCACATCCAAACCTGAAAATAGGCTATCCGTCCTTTTTGCGAGTGCTCGTATAATTATTCTGAAATTTCGATAGAATTAACATACTCGGAAGGAGATCTCCAAATTTTCGCCTCCCCAAATATCCATTTCTTCATCATACGCTCCAATTTCGAAAAAATACTTGCGATCGACAGCAAACAGACCTCCAGCCATCGTTGGCGATCTATCACGTAATATACAGAGAGACGTAAATTTATACGGTTGTCTAGACGAACTAATGACTTACCGTATGTAGTCAGTTTCTGGATGCTTTCTTCGCTCAATTTCTCTCTTAGGCATCGATGATATACTGTAATGAAGGGACCACCAAAACGTACCAATTCCTAAATCCAATCCAGCGCAATTGTTCAAAAACAATGACTCCGTAAAAAAAAAGACGTACCTCCATGTGATCCACCTAAATAGGCGAGGTTTGTATCGGAAATCGAATCGATGATAGGACAGACAACAGCGGTGCGCTCCTCTTGAATTCGTGCCAGCAGTGGTTCTATCCTAAACCGGAAACCAAAACGAAACTAACTACTGACTAACAAAATCTGGATCCCACAGGGGGACTCTGCATTTTTTCCACGATTTTTCGAGTGCCATGAATTATCATGATCTTCTCTTCTTTTGTTATCTACGATTTCCATTTGAATGGTGCGTGGATTTCACTTTCAGCATTCTTTCGTCAACCGTAAAAAAAAAGAAGTCATAGCTAAAGGGCTATTAGCCTCTACAACTAAACTCAGCTATCTTACAGATAAAACAGTCCTGCAATAAAGGATGTAGCTCACCAGCCAGCATTTGCTTCACAATGAGCGTCGAGAAATACGATGACGTCACCGGTTGCAGCTTTTGCTCCTTTGATTTTCGCTCTAATCAATCCAAGCCTTTCTGTAGATCGAATGAGAGTCACGAGTGAACCAAATCTTTTCAAATGTTCGTCAAGAGGTGGGCCAAGCTCATCTGAAACGTCGGCTTTGCATGAGGAGTGCTAGAATACAATATTTAGTCACCAAATTAACAAGTTTAAGCGCTCTGCTTTTGTAAGAAATTTCAAAAACATATAAAAATAGCCTTTCGTTCAAACCGCTGCGATGCGATAATTCCAAAACATTTTACTAAAGTCCCATCGCATAATTCCTTCTACACTCTATAGCTTGTTACGGCGAATGACTAATGCACAAAAAACTAAGAAATGTAACCAATGCGGCGAGTATCTCAGTGATAGGTGACCCTTACGATATGACCAACTGGCTGCAATCAAACTATGCGTCAGCACTTTGTCACTATTGACCTTTGGACCGTCTGCTAACAGCGCGACGCACCGATCCACGCGCGCGGAGATCAATAGCCCCAAAATATTTAACATCATGTTAGGATTAAAGGCACGTTCAGGTTTCGTTACCTTCGAGCCTACTTTTTTCGAGCAATAGTTTCTATGCACAGACTTGCTTGTGATTAGGTTAGAAAGGTTTTTTTCTGCTTTATAAAATTTGGTCCGAAGAGAACTTTCTATTTTCTCATCTTACTTGGTGCTTTAAGGGTTCATTGTGAGGTCGATCAATGGGCTAAAAATAATGTAATTCAACACACAATGTAATGAATAATTGCATGTGAAAGACCAAAAAGGGAAACAGATGCGAGATATCGGAAGTAGAATGCGTGAAGTAGAAGCGCATTTAATCTAGAACGATTCTACGAACAGTCACTGTGTAGACATCGAAAGTTGACCAAAGGACGTAGGAAAACCAATTCAATTAAGAACCAACAGGTAAGCCTTCTATGACTGAAACCTGAGCCAAAAACGAAACAGACCTCTGTTGCTTTTGTCATCGACAAGGATAATTTCCTTGAGTAGATGTGGTGGAGTGCGATTGACTACGGAATGAACGGTGCGGAGAAGCGCTGAATAGTAAACCGCTGAACACTATGGACATAATAAATACTGTGAAGTTTGAGGTAATTCATTCGTGTTGGAAAATAACATATAATAAGATATAAAAAAAACTACTTGAACTATAAACATACATCACACACTGAAGTCAGCTGAAAGAGAACCACTTACAAGAGAAGAACTCGTTAGTGAAAATGATGACAACCGATGCTGTGGGAAGATGTTTCGGATAAGAAAGTGCGAGACATTCGCGTGATCTTGAATCCGGTATACTTCGATCTAACGAGATTTTATCACTGGAAATACACTTAATATAGTGAAAATCCTAATATTATTCGAAAAGAGGAATGCTGCAAACCTGGCCAGCACATTCATGAAAACCGTCTTTATTTGCTGCTCGCCGATTAGTTTCTCTTCACCTTCTAAGATCACGGGAGCACCGTTCTCACCTGGTCCTATTCGGTTCTTGGAGTAATCAGGAACCTTAAGCAAACAGTCCAGTCAATGAAATGGGATTGCTAAATTATCTAGTTACCCCGCTCCAGACCTTGCTAGTGCTTTCACAAGAGCTTGTAAGCTTGAAGTTTATTAAAGAAAATTTCTATTTCTACGTAATTGTGTGTAGGCAATGTATACGTGAAGCACTTGAATCGATCCAAAATTGAGAACCTCTAATCGCTCCATGAAAAAAGCTTGTCCCAATGCTCACTGCTCCATCAGTTACCCTCTCAACCACTTATTTCAGGGATTTATCATATGCATTTCTCGTGGCAAAGCTTACAACACTCTTACAGTCGATAATAGCATTAAGTACCAATTTGAAATTTCATAATACAGTGATCAGAAATATCCTCCTTTCCGTAATTTCCAAAGAAAACTCTCGTACAAACTCCCTACTGATATAACTCCTGCGAGTGGAACGAACTTCAACCCAGTATAATGAAGCGAGTTTAATATCTTTTTTGTAACTTCGCAGTACATAGGAAAACATAGATGTGTTCACATACCGTATGAGTTCTCTCATATGCACGCTTTTCGTAGATTTTTGCACCCTCACGACTCCATGTGATGAACAAAAACACAGAAATCGCGAAGAGAATCCAATTCACCAAACGAGATCTTTGCCGTGCAGTCAGCGGTAATCGCATTCTTCAGCCACTGAATAAACTATAAGTTCATAACAACTGACAACAACGAATAAAGCGATAAAAAGCAAATATCAAAGCTCCACAAGCACATAAGGAATGAAGGTAACGTACCGTGCGCCACTTAAAGACGAAATCATTACATTGGTACAAAGAATTTATTCATAAAAAACACAAATATAATAACACAAATGATCACATTCTACCTCTTCTTGTCTCCAAGATCATCTATCATTTCTTCTTGCACCTAAGAACAGTCACATCATTGAAAGCGGAAACAACAAACAAGTAGATTTGTAGCTTTACCTGAGGCCATTTTGCTGGTATCATATCGAACAAATCATCCTTCACATCGCCTTGTATGACTATTTCATCAGCACCAGTCACTGAACTGCCACAAGCAAACTTCTGTGCAAATAGCTTTGATGCTTGCTTTAGATCAATCTCTGAAAAGGGCTTCAGCATAATTTCAGCACAGCTTGCAGTTGTCTTCAACCCACCAAACGATGCAAGCCCTCTTATAACTGTGACACTTTTCTTTCCTCGTGGTTCACGTTGGAGAGTTACCTTCGTACCTCCGGCTGCCACTTTTTTCTTCACTGTCTAAACAAGTTCTTTGAATGATATGGAATACTGGGGCGACACGATGAGTTCAGCCCTACCTTTACGGTTCCTTTGCCTCCTCTCTTTTGATGCTTCTTTTCTTCAAGGTTTTCATCGCTGATTTCGAGACCTTCAAGAGCTTCTGGAGCGTTCTCTTCACTCCACTTCCGACATTTGTCCGTCATACCAGAGTATTCGCAGTATTCCAATGGCATTGAACATTCTTAACCCATACAGAAACTTTAACGATTACACAAGTAACTCACATGGAAATCTCGCTCAGCGAAACTCCTCTCATACAAATCGTGCCCTGAATCATTTTTCGCTTCTACCGTCCCTATCACGTATTAAGCACACTCATTTCAATTCAGTGGGTACTACCATCTTTATCCTTTTCCGTCACAAATTATCACGGTTTATTGCTTTTTATCAGACTCTAGTCCTCACATGTAGAGCCATTTTACGTGCAACGTGAAAATGCAACGAAAAGTTGTTTTCTTACTGCTATATTAATNTTAGTCCAGCCGATTTATTTCTCACTTCAACCACCTTGTGCAATAAGCAACAAGCAGCAACGGCAGCAACAGCATGGACCCGAAAGCTAGCTGCTACCCTGCTCCTGAAGGCTTCAGACACATCAAGAACTTGGCAGCAACTTGTTCGAAAAAATCCAGTTCTGTCCGTCTAAACTGCCAACACTTATCATGCAACCAACAAAAGCAGAGTACGCAACCTCTAAACTGTTACTAATCATTAAATGATAATACTTCACCAGAAAATATTTTCTGGGCAGTAACTGTGTCACGACTAAAATACGTAAGCCTCACCTCCACAGTATATGACACTAAGCGGATAGGAGACATCAGGAAGAGGTCCCGGACCGATTGGGACTACAGCAACATCTCCGGACTCACTCATTCTAAACAGCAGAGCGCATAGTAGGAAACAATATTAAAAGGAGAGCTTTGGGATAGGAAATCGACGCGTAACGATTAGTTCAAGACACCAGAAAGATTAAATATTTATATATCGTTATCTTGATGGAGTAATCAAATGCATCTGCAGAGAATAAAATAATTACAGCGTTACACGAATTTGAGAAGCGAAACGTTTTATCACAGACAATAGTAGTGACTCGATGTGGACCCATTCGTATTTGAGTTATTTCAGAGTAGACGGAACCTATTTCAATAAAGCATGAGCAAACACCAACAAAAAAGTGAGAAAACATCGTTGATCTAAAAAAAAACAAAATGACTTAGATGAGAAAAGGATCAGCTCAAAAATAACAAGTAACAAGAAAATTGCCGACAACATTGCATCAGCTTCAACTAGCCATCGGATCGACGAAAAACCATTTTTGATGGGGACTTTTGCTATTACATTGCTCTACTATAACATCATCACTGGCTTGCAATCCAGCAGTGGATAAACACAGACCATACTTCGTTTCTTTGAGCATTGAATTCTAAATCGAAGGCTTCACAACGAAAAGAGATCACTCTGCAATAACTTACCTCGTACTGCCAAGTGGGACTATTTTCTTTGCAATGAACCATTTTGATCTTACCCAGATGACCTTTATCAAAATTTACTTCAGCACAGTTAGTTTCCCGTCGCAAATGACCAGCTTTTGATAGCGACATCAACTGAAAAGAAAGAAAACAGTTGAAGAAAATGAATGATGCAAATTTCTCGCCTCGAAGAATTATTCGAGAATGAAATCTTCCAGCAGTAAAAACAGTAAGAAAATATCTAATCAATTCTACTAGTCAGTATATTCAAAAAAAGGCTGAAGACCCTCGAACAGATGAATGAGAGAAAAAAGATTGAATTGGGCAGGCCAAAACTACGACAAGATAGATGCGTGGTTAGAAGAAGAAAAAAATCTGAAAAAACGTTAATGCTTACTTGTGGTGCGCTTCCTTTGCCTTGGCATGGGTAAACTCCTAGAACGTGGTCATAATGTTCGTCACGTTGAAGAGTATCGACACACATGCGAAAGCCATCGACCACGGTGTACAACTGAAAGTACAGCTGAGCATACATATATCCGCCATGCAGCAGCAAGCTGATCAACTTCTACTAGAAATCGTAACATTGAGAAGCCGGTGCTTTTGGTTTGACAGAAACAAAGTGAATCTTTGATACACCAAAAACGCTAGACCCTCCTTAAAATGGATTGGAACTCATTAACCCTTGTCTGCGACTTCAATCACATGCGAAAGCCATCGACCACGGTGTACAACTGAAAGTACAGCTGAGCATACATATATCCGCTATGTACAGCAAGCTGATCAGTTTCCACCAGAAATCGTAACATTGAGAAGCCGGTGCTTTGGTCCGGCAGAAAAAAGTGAATCTTTGATACACCATAAACCATTAAACTTAACCCTCCTCAAAATGGTTTGGAACTCACTATCCCTTGTTTGCGACTTCATTCACAGAACCGCCTCTTTTGTAGGTACTTTCTGAACTTTTGCTGTCAGGCCAGGACTATTTCTTAGCTTCACTTGAATCGATGAGCTTTTTACCACTTTAGAAAGCTTCTTTGGATGAAGCGACACGTACACAAAAATGGTAAAAGCCAAAATATTGAACTAACAGTGGCAGAAAGAGAAACTGCAAAGTAACTTATTCGATATGCGTAGCGTACCGTGCCATAAGCGATGACGTCTTCATCCAAAATGAACTTTCCCGGAATCACATTATCCAGATACCATTTAAAGGACTTACAGCCTAGTCTTTTCCTCAAGGCTTTGCGAGATGTTAAATCACCAACATCTTTGTTCTGAAAAAAAACAGCAGTAAGAGAGCAGTGCGGCAAGTAGGACAAGAGATTTGTACAAAGACCAATCACAGATCATTTGGCATTCGCACTTGTGCGAATATTTGCAAGATTTCTTTCGGAGGAAATTCATACTGGAGACTGCGGGGGACAGGGTGAACACATCGAGTTCAAACTATTCATGGCGCACCCAGTTTTTCGAGGCGATTTCCCCGAGGATGATAGATATATCAATGGATCTCACTCAAAACAGGACAAGTTGGGTAATTCTACAAGAATTTTGCAGCTCGCATTATTTTGATTCTGTTTTTCTAGGAACATTGCCAAAAGATGAGGCCTTGACCACACCCTAGAAAGCTATGTTGGAAGAAATAACTTATAGCAAAATCACCAATAGGTCATGCCTATGCAGATAATACAGTCGCTTATACTCGTCCATCCAAACCTCTGCAAGCCTCTTCGAATTAGTACCATGAACGTCTTTATTACCGCCTCTACCTGAAAAACTGAACATGAGCCTACGGTGATACAAGGCATTTAGCTATGATAACATAGGTATAGTTAAATGTACCTGTCATATTATATGGGTGCCCAGCTCGAAATATATGGCCTACATGAGAACACGGAATGAATTCGATTGAACCGCCACACATCCATACCTGACGGTAAGAAGAGTTAAAAACGATAATTAATAAACGCAATCCGATTGACATGAGCAGAACAAACTCTGAAGCTTATTTCCAAATTTTCTCCACCCCAAATATCCATTTCTTCGTCATAAGCGCCAACTTCGAAGAAATATTCACGATTGGCGGCCAGAAGCCCTCCAGCCATGGTGGGAGATCTATATGAGGTGTTTTGAAAATCGGAAGCAATCCGATATATTGCGTTCAGATGCGCTTGTGAGGCTTCCGTCATCTTGAGCCTTCTTCAAATAAGTTTCGAAACATTTCAAAAGAAAAAGAAAACTCTTAGGTATTATCATTAAAATCTATGACAGGTGATCTCATGTTTTGTTCAAATTTTAGCAATAAAAGACGAGAGAACACGGTCATACAAACCTTATGTACTCCGTTGGACTTTGTCTTCGCTTCCTTTCTTTCTCAGGCATACGTTCCCACGTGAAGTGGAGAGCCCACGAAAACCCTGAAGCAATAAGAAGAATTAAAGACTGAAGTACTAGGAAAGTGAGGTAGGAATAACTATACCTCCAACTGAAGTTGAATACTTATCACCACTATAGCTCATGTCTTCCGCTGCTATGTGATCGATAATTGGACAAATGATCGCACTTCGCTTTTCACTAATCCGCTGAACAAGTGGCTCTAACCTGAAAAAATCGCTTTGCATGACTTCGGTATGGATCCACTGAAATGAATGAAATGCTTCTAACAAGAACAGCATGACCTCTTGGACCTGCCCAAGAAAACAAGTAGATACTGCTACTAATTTGGGGTGTCTTAGGCGTGTTCTACATACTCAAATTACAACATTTTTTAATCACGGATAAAATTATCTAATGGCCTAACACAAACACTCATAGACGTCGAGCATTGAATGTTAACAAACTTCGAGATGCAAGTTAGGAAATTGAGCCTATTACAAATAATCAATACAAGCGGTCGATTGACAAAAAAAGCTCACCACCCAACATTCGCCTCACAATGTGAATCCAGGAAGATGACGACATCGCCGGTTGCTTCACGGGCTCCAGCAATCTTAGCTCTGATTAGGCCATGTCTGACGTTCTTCCTCACAATGCGAACCAATCCATCAAAGCGGCGAACATATTCGTCAAGGTGCTCTTTCAAGTCTTCTGGAATGAGACTATCGACAACATATGACAAATAAAATAAGCTAGCAAAGTGAGATCCTCTGAATCACACTAAAAATAGCCCATTCCTTAAGAGGTAGCAGTAAGTGGTTGGAATAAGGTAACGATGAGACAAAGGTAAGACGATGTGAACTTCGAGACATGAACAAGATCAACACATAAACCTGTTAATCAACAAACTGAGTAATTAATTCATCAGCAAGACATCACTATAGGTTTCTTGAATCAACCAATCGGCATTACACACTGCTACTTAGGACACACCCATAAGGACGAGTTTTTCGAAAGTAAAGGAGGTACATTTGAAGGTACTGGAGATCAAGCTAACCACAGCTTACCACCACTATATCATTTGAAGGTGGGAAGGGCAAATCAGGTTACGATGTCGAGTAGAATGGAGCACATTTTTCAACTCGAATAACGAGGGGAGCAAGAAGAAAATACCTCTTTGGCTGTTGTCATCCAAAAGAATGACTTCTTTCAGCAACTGTGGCGGACTCCTGTTGACAACGGAGTGAACTGTTCTCATTAACGGACTCCATGCCTCATCGGTGAAGATGATGACGACGGATGCCTGAAATAATCATTTGATCAGGACAAATATTAAGGAAAGAGTGAGAATGTTGAAGACACCAAGTTTCGCGAGCTAATCATCGCCTTCGAATTAATCATATTCTTTCATAGAAAAATTAACATTGATCCATGACCTACGGACCGGGAGATACTCCAGATTTCCCAGTAATTGCTAGGAGAAAGTTTACAACTCCGGCTCCAGGTACTAAGTTGACTGACTAGAAGCATTTTTGCATCCACTTTGACAAAGAAGTTGAAGACGGTAATGCCTGCGGTGAGTAAGGAGGTGAACCCGGAAGAAAATCTGGTTGGTCGAAAACCTACAAATCTAAGACTGGCCGCAAAGCCGAAAAACTAGTGCCCTCATTTGAAGCATTTTCTGTTTCAAAGACTCGAAATTGGTCGCCCCAGGAATGTCAGTCACGGTCAAGGTGCACCCAGCTCCGAAAGCGAATTCACTGTTACATCGGGCCTTATTATTTAGAATTCAGGGGCGCAAATATCGATCTCCACTTGGTGAGAATTGACGATGCCCTAGAGGAAAGTTGCACTTTCGCAAGAATTTTTCTTTGAAATGGCCAATTTTCGAGGAAAACAAAGACCTGGTAAGTCATTTGGGACGCCAACTTTAAGCCCAAAGGCATGACCTTCACCGAAACAAAATTATTTCATTCCCTCTTTTTAAATATCTAATTTCTCAAACTTAGTGACTGGAGAGATAATAGGAAAACTATAGCTGGCATGGTCAAACAAAAGCTTAAGCGCCTTTTTTGAAAATCAAGCTTTTCAGAGCAATATATATCTGTATGATTTTTTTTCTAACGCTCCGGCGATTTAGATCAAGGTGAGCTGCTTGTATACCGGGTTCGAAGGGTCTCTAGTCTAGAGAACTGTCTTAGGTTTATCCCGCCTTATTATAGAGTCTGTCTCAATGGTTTTTCGACTTTTTCAGGCTCTGACGAAGGCGAACTCGCCGAAACGTTAGCCCAATAAAGCTTATAATCTTGGAAAGGCTGTAGCAAATTGCATACATAACAATTATCCCGACAGAAGAAGGAATTAGGGTGAGGACTGGATCAAACCGGTTCGTGAGTTGTAAAAAAGATAATTGACCCAGCCCCTATCATTATCGTGAAGCGAAGTTTATTGTTGTTTCTAAAAAAATTTGAGAGGTTCCTAGTGTCTCACTTCCTTATAAGATTATGAATACAATCAACACTCGCGGGAAAATTACAACAGCGTACCTGTGGGAGAGTCTTGAGATCATAATGAATATCCAAACATTCTTCTCTCCGAGTATCAGGTAGACTCCGATCCAAAGACATCAAATCGCTGAAACAAAATTATCAAAGTAAATACAGAGTGGATTCCTAATAGTGTATTAGATGTCAGAGCAAGGAATTCCTCTTGGGGGTTCTATCCGACCTATGAGAGGTAGAGAGGAAGAAGGATCGCAGCTGCAGACACCACACAGCACACTGTGTTACCACCTTTCTTGAGAGGCTGTGAGAAACACGGCCCATGCTGCAGCGAATACGAATACGTAAAAAACCATGGCAAAGCATATTCTTGGGAAATAAAGAGATATATAAAGAATAAAACCAAATAGACACTCAGGTGAAAAGCACGAGAATCATTTTCCAAGGTCACCGTCAAGTATTTCTCACAGTTGAATCATCGCGAGAGCATTGAAACGCGGAATACATTAACGGAATTAAATTTACGCCGACTCTGACGATTAATTAAATGCGGGAATGCGGAATCTGTAACAAGCCGCTCTTTACATTGTGGATTCTCACGTTTTAGCCATCGTTCTCACAACCCTCAAATAGAAGTGTTTCGACTTGATGTTTTGTTAACTACTGTTATTTCGCCGCAGTATGTGATGCGAAAGTCTCACAAGGTTGGCGATTTATGGACAAAACTTCAGCCTCGGACGGGACTCGAAGCCGTACTTATGCTTTGCGGGCAAAGGTGTTCCTTCGAACCATAATTGGAAAGTAATTTATCCTGTTGGGGATTAATTGTTCTACCNAATAGTACCGCTTAAAATGCTCTTCTCATTCTCTCTCGACGGCAGATGACTGATATAGTTTCTTAAGATAAAAAAGTAACATTGAATAGGTTCCGGACATGAGATGCCCAACGGAGGTATGATTGTTACATCACCCATACACCTTATTCCATGTTTTCAATTGTTCTATGCTTCAGTTTATTTTTATTTCACTTGATTGTGTTTTAAGGTCTGGGACGCATAGCAAACAGCGATGTCAAATATAAAATCGAATATTCCTTATTAATAACCATAATCAAGCCGGGTGATAGCTACTACAAAAAAGCAGCAAAAATTAATCGAAAAAAATAAAAATAAATAAAAATCAAAATATGCTGATCCTTTCGAAGAACAGACGAACGGCTGAGTAATTGGTGATTTCTATATATTTTCTTTTCAGAAGAGCAACTGCGAACCGCACATATTTCCCTTGATAATCATCCTCTGCCTGTTTGAATCCATGAGGGAATATCTTCTCTGTTCATTCATCTTGAGAGTTCTGTTTAAACTCCAGCTTCCTCAGCTACGCCCCAATCATTACATTTTATTTTCTCGAATGCCAAGGCTGTCTCTATCTATAACGAAGACAGTTTCTTCGAAATTCAGCTCGCTAGAGCGGTGAGCGCTACAGCAATTAAAAGAATCCATAGGCAACCAAGTATAATAATAAAACGGGCTACACGCAATACGTGTCACTGAGAAACCTTTGAGGATTACGAGCGATTATTGTTTCTCAAGGACTGGCGCTCATACTTTCTGGAAATAATTCGAGAAAGTGATTGAGCTCCATCTTTAGAACATTCGATGTTATTCATTTTTGGAGCTTGGGTGTCACCCCGAACTTCATGAATTCATGAATACTCATATCGCCAGATTTTTCTTACGCAGCACAATGAGAAAAGATTAATACAGTGAAAACAGCTTCGATTTTAAAGATGTAGATTTTTAAGCTAGCCCCTCAACTATTGAATCAACATTTTCCGGGATGTAATCCCAACCCCCATATCATTACCTCGAGGAAGCGACGCTGTGTAATGCTCGCACATTACGTAATCATACGGAGACGACAGCACGCCCAAGAGCATATGTTCTATTGACAAATTGCAGAAAAAGGAAGGACAACCTATGTATAAGGTTTCGACAGAGCAACAAAATTGTCGTCAACTTTTGAAATGAGGTTGTTTTTGCAATCAATAAAAAATTCAAAATAGATCCCAAAAACGTGAAAGTGTTAAGATGTAGCTCACCTCGCCCTCACATTCATAAACCATTTCTTCATATCGAGTTCTCCTTGCTTTTTGTCCTCTCCTTTCAAAATCACGGCCCTTCCGTTTTCTCCGGGTGTTCCTGGCGCAACAGGCTCTGGTTCGAAAGACCATTTTGTCGGCCTCGATTGTTTTCGGCCTAAAAAACGATAGGAAGTATCATCAACGAGAGAGGGTGTAAAAAAAGTCTGAATTCCTTCAGCAGACAACTACTTCAAACCAAAGCTTAGATTTGAAAGCGAAGAACATAGTTGGATCCACCAAAGGCAAACAGAACCCCCCCCCCCCCCCCNAAAAAAAAAAAGAGTTCGAGCTGATTAACACGAACTCTGACAAGACGCGATCGAGACCTCTCTAGAATCGCTGCTATGAGAATATACAAATGATATTTAAAACCATGTTTCTGGCAGCGAGTGAAGAAAACCTCTGCAACTGGCAGAGATGAAAAACAGTGGTGTTAACGGTCTTTTTGAGATATATGTAAGAAAACCAATAAAAAGTCAAAGAAAAATGAATAAAATATCAAAAGCCAAAAACTGCACTAACCAAGAAGATGAATCCTGTCATTTATCCTATAGTAGAAAATAACACCGGCACAAAAAGCAAAAACTATCAGGGCATTCAGAACATTCTCTTTTCGTCGTGGAATGAAGAAACGAGCAAATCCCATGAAATGTAGGGCCTAAGTATCTTTTCTGAAAAAAAAAGAAATTATCAGAAATCAATTGTCAATGACACAAATACATCCGAGTAAACGGCTAAATAATGAGGTCATGTCGAACGAGGAATGGGGTGGTATGGGACAAAACATGCTCACGATCTGACCTCGCCCGCGAATTGAAAAAAGTAACCAATCGACCAAACAAAAGCGACAGTGTGAAGAAGGAGGAAAACTCGAAAAAGGGGTCTCTCAATAGGTATTAATTGTCGTCGAGAGTTTGCTAACAAAAGTAGAAGTCTAAAAGCTTTACCGGGCGTATTCAGGGACGTGACTGTCACCGGCGACCGCCACAAGCTCTCAACGGCCAGTAAAGCTTTTAGAATCTTGTCTCGTATCCCGACTCTAAACAACACCGATCTTCATCGGTGACCCAGACAAACTCTCGAAGCAGCCCCAGTAAGTGACGTGAGGTTGCTGAGGAGGCCGGGTAGAAGCCAACGTGGGCCAACGGGGAGCCATTCATTTCCGAGCACGTCAGCGCTCAATGCAAACATCGTGTCAATAACCAAAAATGACGAATTACATCTTAACTTTGGTGTTTTAGTCATGCAACGGAATCATTTAAATCATAGAATGGAGAACATGCGGAGCTCACAACTTGCCCCAAAATGCTTTCACCAAATCGAATAAGCTCTACATAGCATACCTTGCGCGATCGGATTTTCATCATTTCACTGGGCTATTCATTCGTTCATTAATGCATTCTAAGATGTGAGAAAAATCATCACCATCACAATCGAATGGCAAAACTTCTACAAATGGAAGTTAGTTGAAAATAGTCCATTGTGACTATGGCAGAAAATTTTCAAATAAGAAGATGTGAAAGCAACATCTAAGAATAGAAGAAAAAGAAACAAGAAGAATATAAGAGGAAAGTTGGGCATAAATGAACATAAATGAGAGGGTAAGTCTGAAAAAAGGTTTGTTGCTTCTGAGTAGGGAGCTCAGATCATTGTAAATCTGCCTAAAAGTAAATCCTCAAGGGTGCACAACCTATGCTTAAATATTATATTACGCTTAAATATAAATATTAGTATTATCGAAATATTCAAAAGATACTCTTCAAGTTATATCGTTCTCAATTTCACACCTATAGTATGCAGATTTTGTTGTGAAAGCCTTTGTAGCAGTTGACTCGGCAACACCAAAGCACAAGTAGACACTCATACTTCAGGAATATGTCTTTGTTCGTAAACATAATTACAGTTGAAATTAAAAGAGCAAAGGTAAACAAAACCTAGTGGCGATGATTCTTCAACAGGTACGAATCCAGTTCTTGGTGCTTTTCCCCCGATTCTTTTGTGCTGATATATAATTGCTGTCCATTGGACTGCACCACAGAGTTCCCACGTTCGCGCAATTCTTTACAGAAAACCAAGTTTGGTGCATAACTTGGTCTTAGGGGAGTTTCGAGCTACGAACAGTCTCGAACTCCTATTATGACCATTTATTAGCCCTGAAGCCATTAAAAAGTTTTGCAACATTGAATATTCAGGAGATTTTGTTGATGCAAGTTCAGGGATAAGAACTAAGTTCATTACGGTATAGACTTCTTACCGTAATCTAAATAATGATTCGAACCGCTACTCCGAAACATTTTTGGCCAGTAACGAGAAGCTTGGCNCGATCAGAACAAAATATCAGATTCGTTCTGAGATTTGGTTTCCCAATTCTATTTTTATATTTCCCTTTTTTACTTTTTTCTGGTTCCATGTTTAATGCTTACTAAATGGCCAAAATTATTATTTCAAAAACCAGGGTAAAAAGGCGACCTCAGTGTAGATGACATGATCAGTTGTCGCGAAGCTGTCGTTCTTGAAACTCGTCAAATACATTGAACCCTGCGGTGGTGAAGATTAATGGCTGGAGGAAAATGAAGACGACCACGGATTGTCAACCGTGCATTTCGCCTACATTGAGGTGCTTATGCAGCTCCCCAGTGGCCGATAGGTCCGTCGTAACCGAGTACTGTCCAGGCCTTTGTCTTTTGTGACTCAATCAGTTTCCTCCATACTAAACTTCCTCACTTCAAGTTCTTTTCCTGATGCAGATGACTCCACCGCACAGTATTCTACTATTCTATTGTCATGAAGGCACTGAGGCGGTAACTTGTCACTTGCATTGATGTGAGAGACTCCTGGTATCCGAAATCAACAAGACTTTCCCAAGATCGTTAGTGGATATGAAAATGAATAACTCAGTGGGAAACTCAGCATCTGGATCGCTCATATCCAGATGGTGTATTCTGTTTGACTTACACCGGGTAACCACTACATAGGCTCACTCAGTTTGTTCTCCAAGTATCAACCATATCTGTTTCCTTCTGTGCTGTTTGTTTCGCGTTCATATCCTTCATCACCTATTTGAGTAGTTATAACGTTCCTTCTTACAGACAGACAAGTTTCTTATAGAACTGTAAGAGAGGGTAACCATAGTAACCATGCTATTGAACCAATACTTCAACCCAGAACTGCATTTTAGGTTTTTATTTGATAATTTCAACTATTTCTTCATTTCCCTACAGTAGTTCACCGAATTCCTCTTCCCCAAAGAGTCTCGCATCCGCCAAGTTGTCCCCAATGGAACCTTCGCTTCACTGGTGAACTTAGGAGAAGATTCCGATATCATCAGCATCAAGAAGACTAGTCGACTCTTCTCGACAGGGCAATAAAGACAAAGAGTTTACGAGTGACTATACACAACAATCAGGGAAACCGTGCAAGTTTTCAAATTAAGATCTTAGTGCCCAATTTGTGAAGTCATGCAGAAAGGAGATAGAGAAGGATCTGAAAGTGAAGAGAACAACAGTGATGGGAGACGCGGTATACAATGAGAAGGCCATTCACCATGTCCATCGTAGTTCGCTGATCACCTATTCTGATCTTTTCAACCGCCATATCCTCTTGCCTTATCTACTGCAGTATCGTTGTTCTCCCTCCCGAATGTTGGTGCCTGTTCGTTACTCGTGAAAAATAATTTAGCAGTTGATGACAACAGCTTTAGACCTATCTGTCAGTAAAACACCAGAATACATACACCTACATTTTGGAAAGTCCAAGAGCTAAGTGCAAACTCAGTAGAATGACTTTCACCAGCGACTCCTTGTTGTCCGGATTTGACAATCTTCATTGACATCGTTACCATTCTCAACAGAGACATAGTTACTGGAACGAAAGACCTTCAAATTCTTCGAGACGAACGCGGCAACCCATAGACAACCAGTGTGCCTTTGTTCTATACGCAAAGACATTCGTCTTCATCCATTCAATTCACATCCTGAATCTCATCATGCTTCATAGCACACCATCAGGACAAGTGTGAGGGATCGGTGGGAAGGTGGCTACACCATTCCTTCTAAGTGCTCAGTTTCGCTCGCAAAAC